AGTTCCCAGGTAGTAAGCTCAATCCCCCCAGGATCCTCTCACATCTGAGACACCTATGACTCCCTTGGAGACAGCACTCATGTATGACAGCCAACAAGGATGGGCGGGGCTTTCCAGTCTATGTTTTTCCTAAGGAAAGGAAGGAATGTGTGAAAAACATGAGAAAGATCACTACTTATGGTCTAGAATATAATTTTATATATTTGAAGGGTTTTTTCTACAGTCCATTCATTCCACAACTACTTTTACGTATCTGCTATGTCTCAGATTCATTATAAACTCCGTGAGGGCTTTGTCTTGTGGTATCCTTGGTGTTAAATGCTATTTTAGACATTAGTGATACAAAACTGAATAAGCCTACCCATAAGGCGGCTACCAAAACAAACACAAGTTACTAAACATCAAGCAATATAACAACCACATAAATGCAAGCATGAAGTGTTGTGATAGTAAAGAAACGTAAACAGAGTTAGGCAAGTTGAAAAAGGCTTTATGAAGAGTTGAGCCTTGAAAGAATTGTGGGATTCAGTAAGGCGGAAGAAAACAATGTGTGCAAAAATACAGAGGCATGTGGCAGGAAAGCTGGGCTTCATCAAAACAAGAGGTTCCCTGATGAGGAATGACAGGAGACAAGGCTGGAAAAGGAATTTGGAGCCACAGACTACAAAAGTCCTTACACATAATGATAAAGAAACTGGGCTTCAAAAAAAGAAATTGGACTTTATCCGGTAGGAGCTTCAAGATATCATCCAATTATTATTATTATTATTATTATTATTTTTTTTGAGACGGAGGCTCACTCTGTCTGTGGTCCAGGCTGGGGTGCAGTGGCACAATCTCCACTCACTGCAACCTCTGCCTCTCAGGTTCAAGTGATTCTCCTGCTTCAGCCTCCCAAGTAGCTGCAACTACAGGTGCACGCCGCCACACCCGGCTAATTTTTTGTATTTTAGTAGTAGAGATAGGGTTTCACCGTGTTGCCCAGGCTGGTCTAGAACTCCTGAGCTCAGGGATTCCACCCGCCTTGGCCTCCCAAAGTGGTAGGATTACAGGCGTCAGCCACCACACCCGGCCTCATCCAATTTTTAAAGCAGGGTCATTACACAATCAAATTTACACTTTAGGGCAGTGACTCGGGAAAAAGGATAGAAGGTGGAGAGACATGGAGATTGTCAGGAAAACAAGTCAGAAAGCCCCCATACCAACCTATATGAGAGCTGGTAAAGGCCTGAGAGCAGCAGACCCTGGGCAGAGGACAGGTGAGTAAGAACATAGCTTTGTTTGACAAGACTGAAAGAGAAACATAAAAGATAAAAAGCAACAAGGATAACTGGCATTTCTAGTAGAATGTTAAAAAAGATGTTAATGTCATTAACCATGTTAAGGAATAAAAGACAAACAGTGTTTGTGTTTTAATCACTTTTTCCCCCCCGGAGTGAGAGGGAGGCTGAAAGTCCCAGTTTTAAAAATAATTTTTTAAGTTATCTGTGGAATACCATGTTTATGCTCCAGGAGGTCCTCTGAAATCTGAGACTGGTCTTCAAAAGGCATGTGAATGACAGTTACAGATATAAGATTTGAGATGCTTTCTAAAAGTAGGTAATTTCACAGCCAGAAAGGCAAAGACAGAATCCAAATTCAGTTTCCAAATAAAATCAGCCTACGAGGGATAGAGGAATGAGACAAGCAGAGAAACGATGATGGCAACAAACCCAAAATTGGAATTCTAAATCTAATACCAATAGTGGTGTCCACACACACTCACAAATCAGGAAACCTGTCAAATGATCAGTGTACCGATGGGCATGCTGAATAGCATACTCATGAAAAACAACAGGAGGAAAAGGAAAGACAGCAAGGGAGCAAGTCAGTGCCAATGACCATTATGTGTGTTGTGACAGTAAAGGCCAGACCACAACCTCCAAAAGCCTGCACAAAAGAAATGAGCAGCCCAACCGGAAAACAGCAAGACCCAGGAAACAGCTCCATCCATTAGCTTACTGTTCAGATCCCACCCCTCTAGAACAAGCTTTTGCCCCAGAAAATTACAGGAGTTGCGGGACAGATTCACATACATTATCATTTAGTTATCCAAAGGGGGATACAGACCAAAATAAGTTCATAGAGAAGACAGAAGAGGCAAACTGAATGTGCAACACCAATGAAGTAACCAATTATCCTGGGTTCAAATATTCCAACCTAGCCAGGCATGGTGGCTCACATCTGTAATCCCAGCATTTGGGAGACTGAGCTGGGTGAATCACTTGAGGCCAGGAGTTTAAAGACCAGCCTGGCCAACATGGTGAAACCCCGTCTCTACTAAAAATACAAAAAAATCAGCCAAGCATGGTGGCACACGCCTGTAATCTCAGCTACTTGGGAGGTTAAGGCAGGAGAATCACTTGAACCCAGGAGGCGGAGGTTGCAGTAAGCCGAGATCGTGTCACTGCACTCCAGCATGAGCAACAGAGCAAGACTCTGTCTCAAAAATATATATATATTCCAACCTATTGTGAACCCATGTGTCTCAACTATGTTTAAAAAACAGGGAAACTAGAGACATAATGCAAGAGAAGATAGAGTCATCTGAAACTAGGAGGGTGGTGGAGGTAAAAGCAAAAAGTATGAAACTACCAGATGCCTCAACTTCCAATTTGCACCAACTTCAACGGCAGCAGTCAGAACCTTGCTTGGCACGCCCTACACTTTTGTGCATTTCAAACAACTTTTATGCCTTTTTCTTTTTTTTTTTTTTTTTATTTTTTTGAGTGACAAGGCACGATAGAACAATAACCTCAGCAAAGCTGACACTTGGACTAGTTCTGTCTCCAGCGGCTTCTCCGCATCACTGTTACCTTAACGAAACTCAATCTGCTCAGGAGTAAAACGGACTTATCTTCATGGGCCCATTCCAGAAGTCTTTTCATTTATCTCCGCTCATTTTACCACAGGGGCGGACGCTGGCGGACACTCACCACATGCTACCATCCTGCTTTCCAGAAGACTTTATCACCTGTAATTCTGTAAGAAAGTCACTGACTTCGTTAGGCCTCCACTTCCCCACCTGTAAAACCCTACTGATGCCTTACAGGGTTGTCTTTGGACCACAAAGTGCAATAAAAAATGTAAATGGTACTCGTTTTTAGGCCTGGCAAATCGGAGCGACTCCCATTCTACTCCCTAAA